TATTTTAATAATTAAATAAAATCAATATTAAAAAAATAACAAATCAAAAATATATTTGTTTTTTTTTTTGATAAATTAAAAATATATTTGTTATTATTATTATTTTACTATATCCTCTTATAAAATGTGGAACGGGTCAATTACGCAATTCGGTGTTACTCCCTCTGTTTCACGTTATTAATCGTTGTAGAGAGGAATTTTAGTTCCTAAATAACTGACGTTTAAGCATGTCAATGTCATATTAATTTTTTCTCAAATTTACCCTCTACTGGTAAAATGTACTCCTCCATTGATTCATCTACCCCTTTTTCTCACTTTCCTTTCTTCAGAAATTCATTTTTCTGTTCAATGACTCAATTTTCCTCTTTCATCTTATCTTTTTTCTGTAAAAGAATCCATTTTTCACCTTTCATCTTCTCTTTTATCTACAAGCCAACCTTATTTTTCCTATGTCTTAATGGCGGCACCCATCGGAGAGCTTATTGCCTTTGGATTTGATTTTGAAAACAATCTTGCCTCAGCCATGGTGGATCTGATTTTGAGCTCCATCTCTCTTATATTTGATTGAATGATGAGAACACAATTATGAAGGGGCTTTTTAAAGGGATCCGAGGGGAAATACATTAACGCAAGGAAAGGGATGAGGATAAGAAGATGGTGGCATTTGAGATGAGTGTAGAAGTTGTTGCAACCATGGATTGGAGAGGAGGATTTGGGAGAATCTAGTGAGGCAGAGAAGAAGATAAGCAGGAGTTACTTGTAGTCTTGACTCTTGAGAACAATGAAGAATAGTAAAAAAATGAGGCTGACAGAAATTCATCATAAATCTGGGTTTAAACATGGAATAGAAGTGAAAAAAGGAGATGACTTGCTCGCCATGGATTTGTGCAAATATGGATAAATGCTCTCAGTGTTCGGGATGAAATGACTTCAAAATTGGAAAAAAAAAAAATCAAGAGAATCACTGCGATAAAAAATAAAAAAACGAGGAGGAGGAAATTACGTTGGGAGATTAAATTTAAATATGAGAAAATATTAAAAAAGTAAAATAATACTTTAAATTTATATATTTTTAAAAATTAAAAATAATAAATTACTCTCTAAATCAGGATATAAAAGCCTAAACCGACTAAAAAGAAGGGTAATAATTTGCTTCCTTAATCAGTGTGCAAAAGTCTAAAACAATTAATGAACAGTAATATCTTGGTCAAGTTCACGGTCCCTTGCATCACTGGCGCAAAATGTGGGACGGGTCAATTTCCGAATTTGGTGTTAGTATATGGTGAAGTTGACCTCTTTATAGTTTTTTACCCTTTCTTTTATGTTTTATTCTAAAATGTACATTTAAAATGTAAGGGTATTTTTTTATTATAAATTTATATAAAAATATAAATTTAATTAAATAATTAATAAATTAAACATTATTTTTATTTTTTTAAATCTCTAAAAATACAAGTTAAAAAACCCTTCCTTACCATTTAAAACAGAGATTGGGATTGGTCAATTTGGCTTGTTAGTTTACGTTGTCCACCACTTTTTCCCTTTTATTTTAATCGGCCCTTCTACCATTTATTTTAGACGAAGATTGGGACGGGTCAATTACTCGGTTTTGTATATTGGTA